AAGAGGAGGAGGATTGTGCCCTCTCATGGTTTTCCCTCCACACAGGGGGGAACCGAATGGGGGGCACAGGGGTTTTTAGTGAAGTGACCTCTGCATAGGAGAGGTTAGAGGCAGGAGAGGAGTCGAACGAAGGAACACTCGAACACCCAGGTGAAGGAGAAGACCCCACTCGGGAAGAGGGCACTCTCGGACTCCCAACAGACGTTACCTGAGGGGGGGAAGGACCCGGTTTTCCTTTTCCCGAAAACCGAAAAACGTTCCCACTCGGAAAGTACTCACCGAGCGTGGGAAGGGGAACCGACACATTAGACAAATGAGAGTTCAAACCAGAGAGTGTATTCCCCTCATCATACAGACTGGCTGCATCACGAAAGGAAAGATCCCTGTGAGCCATAATCTTGTGAATCTCACGTTGTCTCTGGAAGACCGGGCAACGGAGTTCCGAAGACTGATGACCGGTGTTACCAACCCTGAAACGAATACAATTTATGCACTCGTCTAGAACATTTGAGCAATTTGGTTTAGAGTGGCCCGACTTGCCACACTTTTTGCAGAACCTGCGCCTTTCATCTCCAGACTGTTTGCAAGAATGGACTGTATGCCCGAATCTCTGGCAAAAATCGCACCTTCTAACCTTATAAACATAAGGGGTTAGGGGGAGACGTTTCCCTACATACAAGCAAGACGAAGGAACCACCGGAGAGCGGAACCTTAAGATAAGTTGATTTGTACTCACGTACCTAGGGCTAGAGGTAGAATTACCCTTTTCCCTACGCGTGATCCTAACAGCTTCGAAAAGGGGAACCCACTCCTGTCCCCACCCAGAGGGGGGGGCCGAAACCGGCCAACAACTCCTCCACGGTTTCCTCCTCGTCAACACCTTTCAGAACAAACTGTTTGACCACCCTAAACGATGGGACATGCGCTGTCCACTGTTCGCAGGGGGTTATCTTGTCCGCGACGTCCCTGAAGGCTTCAACAAACCGATTCGCATCCTCGCCTGTGAGAAAGCAGACAGAAAACTTATTCCTACCTATCACATGCAAGTCAAAGGCACGTTGAAACTGGTTCAAGAAAAGACGATTGAGCCTCTTTCCCAGGCCGATGGCGCTGAGCGAGGTTCCTTTTTTAATACCTGTATCCAGACCCTTACTGCCTTCCTGTTCGTCCCCGCCAGCGGAGGAGGGCAGCGGACGGCACGTCTCTACGTGCACCATGAAAGGGCCCCTGGAGTCCCTGTGGTAACGATTGAGTGTAAGCTGTCTCTGCACGCTGGACATAGCCGAGAAAGTACGCTTGAGAAGGGGGGACGGGCCAGCGCCGTCCCTCTTCCTCGAGGACCGTACCCCTGCAGGTCCAGTAGAAGCCAAAGAGCAGGAAGGGGAACCAGCCGGGAACACTTCACGAACCGCACGACCCCCGCCAGGACTCGCGCCCGGCGCAGTGGTCTGGTCGTTAAGAGGGGGGGTTAAGTTCTTTCCTGGCGGGAACTCCGCCACAGGCATATCTACATCGGCCGTTTCTTCGGTCATCGTCGTAGTCACGAAACACACGCGTTTTACTGTGTCCGATTTGCACAACACTAGCTCGCAACAACAACTTGAACGATACTTGAACCTTACCGTACGATTCAACTACGCAAAAGTTTTACAACTTTACT